TTTATCGTGCCCTTGACTATCTTCAACCTGCTTTAACAAAATTGTACACGCCCACCTTTAAGAGCCACGAGCCACCCCTGCTGTACAGCCAATAGAGGCATCTCTTTGGTAAGCCACGCAGGGAAAACATGAAAAGAGCTATTGCGGCGAGAAGCCTGAGCGAAGTACAGTTTGGATTCCGAAAGGGAAGAGGATGCACGGATACAGTATAATATTCGCATTTCGACAGTTATGCGAGAAAACCACCGAACAGAGAACAAAGAATCCAACATTTCGACAGAGTAAACCAAGCCAAACGCTGGCTTCAGATAGCAGGAGCTCAGTAAGAACGAAGGAAAGCAATACAGACTGGTTCAAAGTAAGATCTGGAGTACGTACGACAGAGATGCGTCTTATCTTCCCTCCAGTTTATAATCTATATGGACACAATAATTCAATACTTTGGCCCCTTACAAAGACACGAGACCATTGTGAAAGAGGTGCTTGAAGGAAGGATGTGCGGCAGAAGAGGGAGAGCCAGAGGAAGACAAAGAGTATCATGGATGGACAACGTAAAAGCATGGACTGGCCTGGTTATAGCAGAATGTGCAACGGCAGCTCGCGACCGTCAAGGATGGAGGGTCATTACAGGTCAACCGCTTAGTCGGAGATGATACCCCCAGTTTCAATTTCCAGTTTCAACATACAAAGAAAAGGAGGAGGCATGAAGACGATAAATATTTGATAGGACAGAAGGAGCAAACCCCACTAAAGCACCCTCCAACCACCCACCTACCTTTGTCTTGATAAGTCAGGGTGTTGCTGAAGCTGGCAGTGGGCTTCCCTGGCATGTGCTCCACTTTGCAACCGTCCTTGGCTGTTGTAGCAAGCAAGAAAACAATACTGTGTCGTCCCATGTACGTTTTTTTTAACGCCCTAAAATGGTTCTATTTCGGTCTAAATAAGATCTTGTTTAATGAAAGTTGAAAGTGTTTTAATACCCCCCTCCCCCCCCCCCTCCATTGACCCACTAATGATCACATTTTGTGCTGTGTTAAGTTTTTCTTAGAGGTGTTTTAATGACCCTGACACAATAATGGTCATATTTCACGCTGAATAGAATTTTCAGTACAGGTGTTTTTACGCCTTCATAAACACAATAATGGCGACATCTCGAGCTATATACATACATGTGAGGCAGCGTGGTGGAGTCAGGCTCTCGTCAAAATAATCAAAGTGAAGAAACTTGCTTTTTTCTGTTGGTTTATGAATTTTTATCAAACTTTTGTTTTTTGGGTCAACGCCTTTCATGCCCTTTAAAGAACTGTGTGAATATTTCTGAAAAACGTTGATTAAAGGTCCAAAAAATGTAAATTTTCAGTTACCACGGATTCTTAAGCTAAGGAAATAACTAATCTTTGGCGGCCATTTTCTCACTAATTTTACCTCTGAAAGCAGGTGACCCCACCCCCTTCATTCGCAAATATCTCGACTTGTATTCAAGATAAATGGATATTTTTTAATCCCAATAAACACAAGTGAACAAGCTTTACAATGATACCAATATCTCTACTTGCCCAAAAATTGACAAGAGCCTGATTCCACCACGCTGCCTCACAAATGTTCAAAGTAGCTTTTACGACTCCATCCACACTGTTTCAATCATTTAGGAGGCGGGCTTCCAACCCATATATAATATTACTAGCTGGGCCCCCTTTCGATGAAAGGAATGATCAGCGGTGCCTATACGTTCTTATACTAACCGTTCTCTGACCGTCTAAGCCGTCCTTTAATATCAACTAAAAGTCATTGGCCTACTATATTTACGCTCTAATGGAAGAGGGCAATACATCTTGAGAGATGCAAAAAAAACCTATAAGGTCTAGATCTATACTCTCAAAACAAAACGCGCCTCGCGAAATATCACTTCCAGATTTTCTAAAATTGCAGAGACAAAAGCCTCGACCTATAAAAGCGATCGGGGAAATAAAGAAATGTAGCTTTTTGCAGCAAAACTGTCTCAAAACGGAAAAAACTAAGGGCGCCATGCTCTGGAGAATATCTTAAAGAATTTTTCGGCGAAAACCACTTGTCAATCGTTGCAGCCATTAAAAAGCCTTTTGAATAGCAAAATTCGGCCACCACAAATAGATAATAGATGTGTGTGCAGGCACCAAACGGTCACCTGTATAAGACAATCACCTGTCCGTATGGCCACTTCTCATTCCTCCCTAGTGTATTTTTTTTTACATTGTAATGACATTGTCTAAGACGTCTTTTGGGTTTTTTTTATGGGAAAGGTTTTTACGGCGCTCGCAACTGTATAAGGTCATAATGAGTGCTATGGGGTGGGTGGTAACAGAGAAGTTCAAACGAGGAATCAGGCTTACTCTGTTCACCTCTCTAGCCTCAACAGCACCAAGTCTGCTTCGAATATCGAGGCACCCCGGAAATAGCAGTCCACAAGAGAGTGACAAAAATACAAAAGAAGTAGAGGAAAATGACGATAGAAATGATGAGGTAAGAAAAAGCATCAGTTCCCCCTATGATGTTCCGCCACAGTATGAGCATGACATTGATAAATCAGCTCATTTTAAGACGTCTTAGAGAACTTCAACCGTATAATACACACACACACACACACACACACACACACACACACACACACACACACACA